GCACGCGCGGTCGTCCCGTCTGTGGGAGCAGCGAGGGGCCGATCGCGGGCGGCGGGCCAGGGAGCAGTGGTGCCGTGTTGCATGTGGTCGTGGAGTAAGCGCCAGGTTCGGCCCCGCGCTCCGGTTCCATTCGTTAACCCGGGTCTTTCTTCCTTCAGGTTCTTGCCTTCATCACCGTCATCTGTTTTGCTGCCTCCAAATCCCATGAAGCCTTTATAGCCCTTGCGGCCATGGAAGTTGTTATTACCCTGTTGTTCTTCCTGCTGTACTTGCTAAAGCTCGATAAAAAGATGAAATTCTTTTTTTGGCCTTTAGCTGTAAGTATTTGGGGTGTATCTTTTAAATCAATGCGTCTTGTGATTTATGCATTAAAAACAAGTTGCTAGCACCTCATAAACGAACAGTCGTGAACAGGATCCATGCTGTTTCCTTCACAAGGTAAGCACTGTGTCTGCAAACGTAACATGGAGCTACAACTCTGCCTATGGAAAAAGATAAGAATTGCTTTCTTGCATTAGTTATCTTTTGTTTTAAATTGAGCTAGTCTTTGAAATGAGGGATGTATTTGAATTACACAAACAGTCACTAGTGCCCCCAGTGACACCCCGTAGCAATATCAAATTAATAAAACAACAAACAAATCTGTAATGTAAACCAGGGCTCCAACAAAAGGGGTTATTTCAGGAACGCAGTTTTTAGCATCATACCACTTGGTGTCACTCTAGATCAGATTTGGATATTACCTAATCCCATTTTAGTGACTAAAAGATCTTGTTTCTTGGTAATAACAATTTTGGGAATATTTACAATCATTTAAAGTTTTTCAAGATGACAAATACATTTTGTTTTCACTGATTTCTTTCAAGGAGTAAAATAAAATTGCTTTATGCGATAAGTATACATGTTTAAGCATTTACTAACCGTGTATTCTAATTAAAAAAATTATAATGCTTTTACAGGATATTTTCAACTCACTGATTGCAGTTGTGTTCTTTATCATTGTGTGCCTGTGTGCAATAATAATCAAGACCACGACCGGGACTCTTGTTGGAGGAGTAAGTATTAACTTAAATTAAGAATTTATAGTATTAACAATAAATTAGAGTATTACAATGGAAATTTTTAAATGATTAAATGTTCAGTTATCACTCTCATGTAACTAATATTACTGGTTTTTCTCTAAATGTCCTAATTTTTGACATTTGAACATAGAAATGAAGTGATCAACCTCATAGACATTCAACTGGTCATATTATGACACACAGAATGTAGAAACAGAATAGATGCAACATGCAATGATTTATTTAGGACTTTACACATAAGAGCTAGCTGGTATTATTTTAGTGCATAAATTTACATAGAACTAAGATTTTATTTACAATAGAATAGTCACAGAATTCTTAGTTCTCATTAAGTCTTTTGATACTACATGTTGCTCTTTTAATATATCACTAGATTGTTTGGGGTTTGCTGTGGGGGAGGGGAGTATAAATATTGAAAATCAGTAGAATTGTCAATAAATTCACCTGCACTTCTATTGGTTGAAATTCCAGTGCCTATTATTTAAAAAAAAAAGTGTTGTTCATCTTATAATTTCTGACCATTAAAGATCAAACCCAATCATAAATTGAAGCCACTTGCTATTTGTATTTTTAAACAATAAATGCCAGCTATAAAAATGAGCTGGTGCTGGTGAGATTGATATTCTCTCTTCTCATATTTAAATATACAATTATAAACTAATAAAAGACTAAAAATTCACCTGTCAGAATAGTTTTGGATTTCTGAAAACAAATTGTTTAAATGTCAAGCAATAAAAACCAAAACTTTCATCATACAGCTCTGAGCCACAGTATGCAAGTTGTCATTTTGTTCTATCTCTGACAACCGAAGCAAATTTTTTATATATATTCCACAATAAATGACTGACTGTGCTGGATTAAACATTTGATAGGATTGTCTTCTGGGTGAGCAAGATATAGAATTTAACAATGAATTAAAAGCTATAGCAGCAGAAAGTGCTCACATATTCAGGGTAAAAAGAAAGGTTGAGGACATATTATCTATCACAAAGCAGGAGATTAAAGTCAAGCCTAATAAAATATTTGAGTAAAATGAATAAGGATAAAAGATTGCCAGATTTTCTCTCTGCATACCTTACACTCTTGAGAAATTAGTTTTACTAAAGCCAAATTTGTAGTGTCTGAAGACCTAGTTCATTCTGTTATGAACAGGTAATTTACTATAACTAAAATAACAAACTCCCTTTCTAAAAGAAATGGATCTTCACTACTAGCCTTAAGGTAAGTAATGCATTTTAGCAACAACTGTGCCACAAAATGGTGGTGCTCTTAAGAAAGCATGCCAGATTCTTGCTTTTCAAAGTTAAGTCCAGGCTCTCAAGCCATGTAATATGCACTGAATATAGTAAACATTGGTTTCCTCCTTGGTGACCGCTAAGATACAGTAATTCTTTAGCTAATTAGAGAATCCATGTCAGATATTTGGGGAGTGAACATTCGGGGAGGCGGGGGAACAGAAAAAGGCCCAAACTGTGTAATATAAACAATAGTTCTGCGTGACTTGCTGAAAGTGAACTATTGGGCAATTGAAAAGTTATGGATTGTTTTGTCTTGGAGAACATGAGAACCTATAGTTTTTTAGTCAGAAATAATTTAACTTGTTTCCGTGCTTTTTGCTTTCCAAATGCCTCTCATGATTAAATATAAAGGGCCAGATTCTTAGCTGATATAAATTTAGCATAGCTAGTTAACTATTTAAACCATCTGAAGATCTTTCTTACATTCCAGAAAAAGGAATGAGGTGAATTATCCTATCCTTCAGATAATGTTCAACAATGATTTATTATTACTAAATTACAGGCAGTCCCCAGGTTACGTACAAGATAGGGACTGTAGGTTTGTTCTTAAGTTGAATCTGTATGTAAGTCGGAACTGGCGTCCAGATTCAGCCACTGCTGAAACTGACCAGCGGCTGACTACAGGAAACCCGAGGCAGAGTTGCTCTGCCCCGGGCTTCCTGGAATCAGCCGCTGGTCAGTTTCAACAGGCTGAATCTGGACACCAGTTCCGACTTACATACAGATTCAACTTAAGAACCCCAGGCGTCCCCAAGTCAGC